AGGAGAGTGAGGCAAGGTGACGTTCAGGGCACTCTTCAAACCTGAGTTATTCTATGATTCAGTGAATCTTTCCCTTGGAGAGGTTTCTGAAGACAGAAAGGGTGGAGGTAGGGAAAAAAAAAATGAGGCAGAAGAGGTATAATACATGTCAAGAGAAATTCAGTGGTTCCTCTGAAGAATGTTTCTCCACTCAAATTGTTAGTATGAAATATCTTTGATGACTTTGATAAAACAAGCATAGTTTTCTCTGGTTAGGTCCTGGGCCGTAAGGAGCAGGATGGGTGGGTATGGTATGATGAGGTCAATTGAGTCTCAGAAACTCCCAATCCAGTAGGAAGCAGATGGCTGTGAAGGGTCCTGTGAGGTCAGTTCTGTCTCTGGAGGTGATAGGCCGGCAGCAGGAACATGGTGTGGGGGTGTGCTCCATGCCTCACAACCACCTCACCTGACCTTTTCCCATAGCCCTGCTCAAGCGATAACCACCAGTATGATGGAAGTGTCTGGTCTGGATGGATGTTTCCAGGTCAAAGTTGACTCAGGGCAGACAGATAACAACACAGTAGCCAGGGGCTAATTTATGGCAATGTGTCCACCTAACCACGGTGCAGGTCAGTGTCTGATTCAAGCCAAATTTGGAAGAAACTAACATCTGCAGTTGGTATGTAAACATGACTATGGGTCAGCCATCTTACCCCCATCAATAGTGAGCAGCCCAAGAGCCCTCTAAGTGGGCTGCATGCCAGGATCTCCTCTTGAGCAGGGATGCCTCTCAAGGGGACTCCTCGAGGCTGAGAGATTCCTTGCCACAATAGTGACTAACAGCATGGTAAACTTTGAAACCTTAGCTACATGATATAAGGGATGGATTGCACATATCTAATCCTTTTATATATAAAGCACTGATCAAGTCTGGGACCAGTATTGGATCCAGCTGCACCTAGACTCCTCTCTGAGGAAGGAGTTTAGAAAACAAAGGGGGCCCTTCTGAACCTCATGACTCAATGGGAGGGTCTCCCTGACAGTTTTGTCTGACCCTGTCTTCTATGCAGTAAATAACCAAGCATACCTTGCCATCAAAACTTGTTAATCAACAGTTGCATTTATCATTGAACCTTGTTACCTCAGTGCTTTATATCCATAAAGTATATTTTTTGCTTCTCTCTCCCTCCCATCTGCGACACCATCCTTGTACACCCTATGCACACAGCCCATCTCTCTCTACCTCCCTGGCGTTAGTTTGGTTTCCTTTGTACCCTCATTTGGTGCTTCTGAGCTTGTTGCCATAGGAATTCCTACCCGGGTCACAAGTTCCATTAAATAGCAACTCCTCCTATTGTCCATAGTGTCCCCTAATTCCTCATGTTATTCCCTTGTCAGAGGCACGACAAATCTGGTGGGCCATCAGTATGAACACATTAAAAGCTGTCAAAAATGAGTTTCAATACATAGACACCTGGAGAAATTCTGGGAAGTTGTCAATAGAAGCCTCATGATGTTTTAGAAGGAGAAGTGTCAAGTGCTTTTTTGGGGGCAGAATAACCCCAAACATGAGGTCAGGCTGGGACCTGAACTGCTCAGGAGTGACCCTGAGGAGAAGCGCCTGGGCATTCCAAGGGATGGCACATGGGTGAGTGGCACATGCTCAGAGTTACTAAGGCCAACTGAACAGGGGTGCATGAGGAAGGACGTGGCCAGCCAAACGAGAGAGTAATCACCCAGCTCGACTCAGCACTTGTGTTGTCACATCTAGACTGGTGTGTCTGTGTGTGGGTTTCTCCAGTCTGGAGGAACGGGAAGGAACTGGAGAGGTTCTAGAGGAGATGTGCCATGGGGGTTTGGGGCCTGTGTGGAAAAGCTGAATGACTTGGAATTCTTTAACCTGGCGATGTGGAGGCTCATGGCTCTACAGTAGTAGTGTGCAACTGCTTGAAGGGTGGTTTCAAAGATGATGGATCTTTTCTTGGTAGTTGGAAGAGAGGGAAAGCTCCACAAAGTGCAGCTTGGAAGGTTCGGACTTGAGGAAATGTATAAGAAGTGTCACTCAGAGGGTATCCTTGTGGTGCAAGAGGTCATCCAGTGGGAGTCTGGATCAGCCCATGGCTTTGTCTTTCAAAGAAGAGCCAGCAATGTGTAGAGAGACATCAGGGAAGGCACAGAAATGTCCGTGTGAGCATTGGTGGTAAAGCAAGATGGATGTCTACAACCTGAAAAGAAAGAGCTGCAGGCATGGGACACTGTGGGACAGCCTGCAGTCAAGATGGCCAAGGACTCTGGCAAGGCTGAAAGGCCACACAAGACCAAGGTCTTTGTCCTTTTGGCTAGCACAGTTGCATCTGCCACTGAGGCCTACCAGGAGAGGCCTACCTGTATTTAGAGGCTTTGCTCTTTGTTTCATCCTCAGCCCTTCTTGGGGAAGACAGGAGGTGTCAGAGAATTTTTCTGCACTTGGCCTTGCTCACCCTCACATCCTACTTCCTCCAGAAAGAGCCCTGAGACATGCAGGAGGGACAGGATCTGCCTTCCCAATGCCTGGGGGTAAGGTCTTGGCCTTTCTGATTTATAAAATAAAGCAAGGGTTTTCTCACCATTACAGCCACTTGCAGGGTGCCTTTGCCTGTCTCCAATCATGGCCTCCAATTATCTGCTCTAACGAGTCCCTGGGGAGGCTTTGTCAGTAAGGGCCCTCACTGGGGCCCGTTAATGCTTCAAGTAACTTTGAGTTTTCCTTCTGGCTTCTTGAGCAGTTTTTTCAATCTTCTCTCAGTATCTGGGCTTCATGGACTCAGCACCAAATACACCGTGGGGCTTATTAAAATACAGAAAGACCTAACAAGCCATGTCTCTTCCTTTAATTTTCTTCAAGTCTTCAAGCCTTGTACAGCTAATTAGAGAAATTTCATAGTGCAGTTAAGACGTGGATTTTAATGAGCACTTAATAAAGAAGGGGTTTTGCTTTTTAAAGGGCATTTTCCATTATTTTTCAATCTACCAAAGAAGTGATTGCAGCACTCTCCAGTTGGCAT